CCCCCTCCCCCTGCGGTACCACCACCTCGGTGGAGCGGTGGGGAGCGTGTGCGGGGCGCGGGTACCGCTGCGGGACGGGTTACGGGCGGGTCGGGCTGGCGGAGCGCAGGGGCGAGGGGGGCGGGCACCCGGCTGCCCCCCGAGGGCCGGGGTGGCCGGAGATGGTGGTGGCGGCGGCGGCCGCCGGAGCGCGTTGTGCCGCGTTTTCTGCTTTGGAAGCCCCTCGGAGGAGAGTGCGCCGGGGTGGGCGGCCCCTGGCAGCTCCAGCTGGCCCCTGGCTCCCTTCTTGAAGTTTGCCTTGGTAGCCCTGCTTAACTTCGGTGCTTCTTGGGGATGCCTGCTCCGACAGCGTGCTGCGGGACATCCCCCTTAGCTCCCGAAGCTCCTCCGCTGGAAACTCTGGTCCCTGTGTGACGCGTTTTTCCCCTCCTGCCAGTTTTCCCTTGAAAACATAAAGGCGAAAAGTCCCTCGCCGTTTTTCTGCCTTGCACCTCCTTTTCTCTTTGTCGCACATTGCCTTTCTGTACGTGCATGCCTGTATTCCTCATTTTTTTCTCCCAACCTGCAGCTGTCCTGTGAGGATGTTGGGTTTTCAGCCAAGCCTCTTTCTCCTTGGAGGGATATAATAATTTTGTTTTCGCAGGAGGGATATGTAAATTCCGGGGTGGCTTAGTGAAATCAGCACAGGCTCACACTTTCTTTCTATTTCCTTCGAGCTGGAGATGATGCATTCACAGCAGATTTTCGTTCTTTGCTTTAAGCCTTAATTTGAGGAGGCAGCTAAAGGAAGGTTGCAAGTTCCCCTAGGGGCCTCGGGGAGGCTGGCGAAATTTACTTGGTCCCCCCTTTGCCCCCACGGTCCCCAGAGTTAAAGGCAGAAGGTGTGTTCCTCACCCTCAGCCCTTGCCTAGGCGAGTGGGGCACGGACAGCAGGGCACAGCTGGGCAGCAGTGGCCATGGCGGCTGCGGGGAGCAGGGGCTGCTGTGTGTGTGTGGTTCATGGTGGGGTATTTGCTACCCTTGGTACTACGGATTTTCACAACTTACTTGCTGGTAACTTTCCCACTTGTTCAGCCCGGGTGTAAGCCTGGGTTTCTACCGCGATATTGTCGTGTCCGCTTACTTAAGAGATACACAGAAGTTTAAAATTTTTGGATCGTAGGTGTGCAAAAATGAGGTGAAAACGAATTTATGAGGGAGAGTCAGCATTAAAGATACCCATGTTTCTTGAAGTGTACTGCTTCCTGTCATACTAGAGGTAGCTGCTCAAATGATTCAGAAATTAGGCAAAAGGTAGAATCTGTATATATTTGGAAAAAAAGGCCCCTCCAGTTTATGATATTATGATACATTTTTTAACACCGTTTAAAAGGTACTAGAATGAACAGATTATTTAGAATAGAATGAAAGAGAATAAGTGTACTTAGTCATAAATATGTATATACTTAACAATACTTTATGGCTGCAATGTATTTCTGCTAGGTCATTTAGTTTAGTTTAGTTTCTTTTCCCAGCCAGTCGTCCTATCTGTTACTGTGTGGTGCAGGGAAAAAAAAACCCCTCCCTAAGTGTTCTACTGGTATCTGCTGCCGCTGTTGATGTTACACTTGCCTTTCTCCTGAAGGAAGGACTCATACCGTTTGGTTATTTTTGAGATGGGCAAGCAAAGTCAGTTTTCCATGGGATGTTTTACCTCCAGAAGTACTAGTAATGCAGAGTTCTGAATCTGCGAGGTAGCCCATTTTATGGTTACTAGTGGCCCTGCGGGTAAATCCTAGACGTTCCAAAAAGGACTGTATGCAGTTCCAAAGTATGTGATAAACCCTAGATCAGCTGTGTTCTCATAGCAAAGTTTGCTAGAACAATGATTGCAAAAGCATACCCCTCTTTAACTAGACAGTAATATCCCTTTAAAAGTTAAGAAAGTGATGGAACATGCGTAATATGTGGAATGCAGTGTTTCTTAAACAGTTGTCTTCTACTGGTTTGTTTATATTTAATGAAATGCCTTCAGGAGAAGAGATAGTCATATTATATTGGTCGATTGGTCACCAAGTCAAGGTAATTCAGAGCGAAGGTTGACACTGTCAGCCACAAGTTGCTGTCACACCACAGAAGCTGTTGCATTTGCTTCAGAGAAGATTTGGAGTGATTCTAGAAGAAACAAAATAGCCCAAATTTACTTCACAGTTGTTTACACAATGAAGAGTTTTCAGGAGTAAATTTAGCTTTTTGTGTGTTACTGTATTTAATATTACTTTAAGTGGAAATCAAGTAATACCAGTAAAAGGGAGAGGACCATGTAAGTGAAGACTGTTGTATTCATGGTAGAACTTAAACACAAAGTGCCTAGGACCGTCTTTTAGCTCCTGAGAACACAATTTAACATTGTTTGACTGTACAATCTATACAGCTCACTGCAGATGTAAATTGTGAGTATGGAAGACAACCACACATCGAGTGCTATGGCACTTTAGGTGTTGGCAACATCCTGTGTTGCTAAGTTTTGTCAACTTAAAGTGTTTACTGGATAATGTTTCATCCAGCATAAACTGGAGACGTCTCTGAAGTACTTCTAGACTAAGTGCCTTACCTGAATGTATTTAGGTAGTTTTTCTTTAGATGCATACGCTCTATGCATCTAGAAAATATCAGCAGGAAAATACGTGTGATAAATGTATTTGCAACCATTATGGAAAATTTTTAGAGAAGTAAACATTTTAAAATAGCAAAAAAGTATTAATTACATTCAGACTATTGAATTTAGGAACTGCTGCAGCATCCTTCCATACCCTCAAGTTAGCATGATTTGGATGACTTACATACAGATTTTGTACCAACTCGATCACTGAAAGTCGTTCATTTTTCGGTAGGTGGCAGCCTTACCTATGAATCACTGCAGCGTCAGTGCTGCAGCGTGTTGGGACGGTGTTGCTAGTAGTGATGGGTTGTCTTTGACAAAGTGTATAGAACTGGTTTATTAGTTACAGGGGCTTTTAGAATCATAGCACTTCTTGCAAACGACTACATGCTCCCAGTTTTTGTTAATTTAGCTTAATTAATGCCCCATTGCGGGTTTGTTTGAGTTTAGTCTGCTGTATCGTTTACCAAATATTAATACTTCTACATATATATATGTATACATAACAGTAATGTTGTTGTGGCTCTTACTAAGGGCCAGGATCCAACTGTTTTAAGAATTTACAGCCACAGGAGAACAAGAGTCAGCGATTCCTTAAAGATTTTTACAGTCTCACATCTTTTCCATTTTGTTGGTTGAATGGCTGGTGGTCAAAAAGTTCTGTTTGCAAGCTAAGTAAAGTTATTGTTATTTGCACTATTTCAGCACATGCTTATTTAGCAGATAAAGAGATTTCTATATATTACTGTTTCATATGCTCCTGAGATATAAGACATTCCACATGATAGAATGTTATATCCAACAGCTTTGATATTAACATCATTAACAGCTATGTTTGAATGCAGCTGAACATCACTCTGGCACCTAAATGGAAACAGTATGAAAGATAATGGCAATATGGAGATAAAAACAGATTTTAGACCTGAAACCTTAAGTTGTGCTTGAACTGTTTTAGCTTCTCTGTCCCATTTGTGTGACCCTGTTGGCTAATATCATTGCAGCTGGTAACATTATGATACCTCCTCATCAGTTGTTACATGATCATCACCCACAGCTTACTATATTTTTTTATTTTTTAAGATTACTTTACCAAAATTCATGACTATGATAAGATTGATGAAGAGGATAAGGCAACTGTGATTGTTTGGATGTCTGTATACTAAAGTTGTAGGAAGTCTGGAGGAAATTTTGTGGTTTGTATGATGCTAAACTCCAGAATTGTGTGCATGAAAGTCTTTCACTATCCATAGGATGCAAAGAGAGTCTATTTGGCCATTGTTGTAGAACATGAGCAAGTGCTGGGTGAAGGCTTGAAAGTTATGATTTAATTCTAGGTTTAGTACTGGAATTTGGAACATAGAAGTGTAGAGTCTGCCTCATAAACATATTGAAGTTTGGTCCAGGTTCACAATTTGGAGTTTATTGTAGCTTTTGTTATGTCTATTTCAAACATGTTTAAGCTCTTAAATTGCATGTTTCAGTATTTGATATAGGTGTCCCATAGGTTTCTTACAGGTGCCATTTATTTGCTTTGGCAAGCAAAGTGATAATTACCTCTTTTTTTTTTTTTTTCTTAAATAAAAAGAAATACCACTGGTTCTTGTGACTTAAGTTATTTACAACTCTAGTTAGCCTTGATGTAATTGTGTCTTTTCTATATTGCATTGCAGAGATGGTGAACTGAGTTTAAGTAGATCAATGATCAATAGCTCTGATAAGATAATTCGAAAAGGTGGCTCCTCAATCTTCCAGCATGCTGTTGAAGGTTGGAAAATCAATTCTTCTTTGGTACTGGAAATACGGTGAGTGTTTTAAATAAAATGCATTTCATTTCATATTACCTATAATTCTTTAATTTCATATTGCCTGTAATTATTCTTGTTCGGAAAAGTCTTTTGATTTATAGTTGCGGGTGGATGTTTTGTAACTGTACATATTTAGGGTTCAAAATAAGCGTAACTAAATTACATTAGACTCCAAAATCAAGTTATCCTTCAAAAGAATAAATAAATTGTTTTCATCTGGCTGTGCCAGACTCATGCAGTCGGAATCTACATTGTGCACGTCCACATTTGGTTGTCTAGAACTCTTTTGCAGTCAGTGGTGAGAAACTGACACTTTAAGGACATGCTTTCCTCTCATCCTAAAGGTCTGAAAGAGAAGAGATGGGAGTACTCTCAACGTACCTATTTTTCTCCCTTAAGTACAAAGGGAGCTTAGGCCGACAACTTGGATGTAGGAGTCAAGAGCTAGAACATCCGGAGCTGTGAATCCAGCCCTGACTGTGGCTGGGCCAAGTAACACCCCCATCTCTCAATTTTCCATCCTAAAGTCAGAGAGGCAAAGTAGAGCCTTAGGCTCATTCTGACAGGGGAAACACAGTAGCAGAGCTAAAGTGAGTGATAGTTGTCATGTGTCTTAGTGGTTACAGTGAGTCTGCTCGCTTTTGGGCTTGAGAGAAGAGAAAGCAGAAGCCTGTAAGTGTTGTGTATTGTCATTGTGTCTTCCCCATCTTAATCAGGAAGGTGGCCAGTGAGGGAAGTGTATGGAGCATGGGCTGGCACTGTGGAGGGCTAGGAGTGTCACTTCCTGTGAAAAATGGTAGAAAATAACTGTTTTTAGTCGCAATCACATAGCAGAGAAGACTTGATTTTCTGTAGGTTAAGATTCTGAATAGGAATTTTATCTAAGTAAAATGTGGTTTCTGTGTCATTTCCCTTTCTACTTCTTGTTTTGTTCTGTTGGTTTGTTTTTTTTAAAGGGCAGCTCACAAAACTCTTAAGACGGGCAATATATCCATGTAAGAAAGCATGGCTTCTCTGAATGAGGAACGTAGGGTTATTTTTTAAATGACTGCTATTTTATGTCCCTAATTCTAAAACATGCAGAAGATAACAGCTAGCTTGGATATTACTAAGGCTGTAGTAAAGGACTGATGTTTTGGAAGTCTTATGCTATGATGGACATGGTGCGGCCAAGAAACAGCCTCAGGGAAGGAAGGAGTGGCCAGATTTGGGTAGGCAGCAAATTAATACTCTGCAGGCTGTAGCTGTGGCTCAGCTGCCTGGGAAGTGCTCTGTGGAGTCCCCACTCCTTGACTGCCTAGACTAAGGGACCCTTGGGCACTTGGCTGTTCCCCAGGGACCTGGGGTTCCTACTGGTGAAGACCTGGTAGTTGCCCTGAAATGCATCTGAAGTGCAGCTCAGGAGTGGAGTTTCTTCCAGGACCAACCCTTCAGATACGGCCCATTTGAACTGTGTATGGCTGTTCGGTAAAGGCTAAGTTCTGCTCCAAAGTAGTTTAGGAAAGATAAGCAGATTTTCTATATCAGTAACAGTATTTAAAATTGATACGCATATAACGGCAGTTTAGGTTGGAGAAATATTGAGTAACTTCAGAAGAATAATGTTGAAATTTCAAGTTGTAGTTTACGATTCTGACAGTTAGGAGAAAACAGCACACAGTTTTACTTGTGAAGAAAACTGATTAGGAAGCCACTGAGTGACTGGAAGTAGAGACAGATAACTCTTTTCAGTAATTTTCTTGAAAAGTGTCATATTTCAGAACCATTTAAAACCAATGGCTCAAACCAAACAACAAACAAGTAAAAATATTACAAGAACTTTTTGATTAAAATTAAGAAAGAAAATGAAGCTTGGGTTGTATTCATTTTTCATCTGTTTCAAAAGCAAAATACATTGTTTAGACAAAGAGATAAAACAGCAGAGCATGCTTTAGAATTTTTTAAGCCTGTTACTACATGTGTATCATCTCAATCTATTAAAATCATGAGTTTCAAAATCAGTGTTTAGATGTACTGTTGGCTGGTGGAGGGAAAGTTTTCTCATTTTATAAATTACTGATGTGCTTTTAAGAAGTACCATGATGTGATTACATGTTGGGTTTTTTTTTTTTCTAAATTGTACAGTGGAGAATGCTTTTTTGTCTCAGTAGTACCATGAATAAAGACATGTATCTTGTACACTGGGTTAAGCAGTAAAGATTCTACTTTATCAGTGTAAAGATTTACTGTACAGTAGAGAGCATAAAGCTGAATTTATTTAGTTGTCCACAACGCTAGTACTGTTTTGAGATGAAATAGCTACCATCATGAACACTGGGGCAGAAAGCAGCTGTTTTCACTGAACCAGCAAAAGATACTAGATTGATGTGATTTAGGGCCAAAATTTGACATAAACTATATGAAAGGAATTAGTGCTACCAGCCAGTCACATTCTTTCAAAAAATCCTGTTTGCTAACATGCACAGCATGTTCAGTTATGGTAAGCAGTGAGGGACAGAGGTTTGGCATGCTTTTCCCTGAGGAAGCCTCGTGCAGCCCCTTGTGATATGTGTTCCACTCTGATGCTGACTAAACAATGTTCATTCTTCTTTCACTTTTACAGGCGGTTTGCTATACACCTTGCTTCCCTGTCACAGCAGTAAGAAGCATCTTAGCCGTAAATATTTTTTACACTTTACAGACCTACCAGGACTAACTTCAAATGTGTCTCTAGCAATATCCTAGAGTGTTCTCATGGTTAGACTAACTGTTCAGCCCCTCCGAAGTTACGTTACATGCACTGTGTAGACCATGAAGATGATTCATACTCTGTTGTTGCAAATGTTAACGTGAGTGGCTGTGGTCTTGTGGTGTGAGGTTGACCATAGCAAATAACAGTAAGAAAGAAACAACAAAAAATAAAAAAGCTAGAGCCTGTTGAATAATGTATAAAAAGTTATCAGTTCTTAGCAGTGGAAAAATAATTTGTGAAACCATTAGTGTACAGCATAAAGACATTTCATAAAGCTTATAATCATCCATAAGTGATAGCCACTTCTGTTTTTTATGTCAGCTTTACACCTGCATTAGCAATTTTAAAGTGTAGAAAATATTTGGTAGTGAGTTTTGCTTTGTGCGAGGACTGTTGATCAGTGGTATGTCTGAACCGAGTTGGCTGGCAGCTGGAATATTATGGTTTACTATTTGCTATGTTGACCACAGACATCATCTCTGGCCATCTTATTTTTGTCAAGTTAGTGAACATTAGATCAGTTAGACTATCAGCCCCAAAGGTCCTATGAATTCTTGGTAAGGCCAGCCTCTGATGGGAGTCAATGAGTGAAAAAGCTCCTTTATCAGGACCCTGTGGGACGAGAAGCTTCCATTTGGTTTCTGGTGTTACAGGATGCTCTCTGGGACTTTGCAGCCAGAAGAGGCAGTCTAGTAGCAGAAGTAGCAGCTCTTTTGGGAGCATGGCAGCCCTTTGCAGATGTTAACCAGGTACTAGAAGAAAGAGCTAGATTTTCTGTGGCTGAGGTGGAGATGATGGATATTATTAATTACTTGAGACTTTGCCAAATTTGCTGCCTTGCCAAGAATGACTGGTCTAGTAGGAGAGTGATTTTTCCAACTGGTATTACCTTGTGATTGCTGACAACTTCTTTGTGCCTAAGGGAAAAGGACTGCTTGCTTGGCTCCCCCTCTGTCTGAATGATTTCAGTCATGAAGAAGAGAGAGAACCCCCTCTCTGCAGGGTTTTGTGTCTTAAGTCCTTTCTGCTCTCTGTAACAATGTGAAGGTTTTCCAGTTATGGAAATTCAAGGTGTATTGAAGGCCATACTTTCAGAAAGATGTGGGAGAGCTGGTACCAACCTGTCTGGGGAAGCCTTCCAAGCGGGACTCATGCCAGTACATCTGTCACCTGTGTGAAATGACCTGAAGTCTGACGTCTCCGTGTGTGACTTTATTCTTCCACTTATTTGTGATTAAGTGTGGTCTTTTATGTTGGAAAAAGCAGATGAAGGTTTTGAATTGCAGGAAGGTAAAATGAAAAAAAAAAAAAAAGCGTGTTCAGAATGTGTGTTCAGAATGTATTTATCTCTTTGCAAGGTAACAGAGAGCTTCATGAGTGGAAATTTCCTGTCAGAACGATGTGCGAACTTGTAAGATGTTAACAGCATCATTAAAAAAAAAGAAGTGCAACTTCCTCCTTAGAAGGGTTCAGATTATTATCATTGTTTATCTTTCAAGTTAGTATGAAACTGCTATGATAAGTCCCTAAAGTGCAAGCAGTAAATACTGAAATTGCAATTGAGCAGTACAATTGCTCTGAAACTTTTGGAGTAACATTATGGGGCCAGTTGCACTGTTTCCTTCAGATCTTCTGTGCCTCAAAGGCATGCAAACTGGGGCCCTCTAGTCTGGTTAGTCATAATAAGCCTTAAGGGGTTTTTACCTCCTCAGACCTCTTGCCTCAACTGAAAATTTCTCAGTCAGTTGGGATGATCAATTCCTTTGACTCCTTTCTTTTGACTTTTAACTTGTTTAACTTCATGAAAAGATGACGTGTGGCCGACCTTCTATGGTAAGCAGTAGTTGAGTCACTCTCTGTTTAAAAGCCCTCTTTTCTGAAGATTTGTGCCTGATCAGCACGTGCTTCAGCTACTGAAGTGACCTTTCTGGTCGTGGGAGAGTGGGGTGCCCTGAAGAGCATGAAGAGGGCTAGAATGGGGACAGAGCCAGACAGCAACTTCCCGTAATACAGCATTTCCCCATTCTCCATGGGCTGGGGAATGCCAGGAACCTTCCCACAGTTAGCTGCAGTTAGACGTGTTTTTAACGAATCCAAATCAGGGGTTGGACTAGATGATCTCTGAAGTCCCCTTCCAACCCAAACTACTCCACCGTTCTAAATGCTGCTTTCCTTGAATAGGTTTTCTTAAAACTCCCTTTCAGTCAGACTAAAACCAAACCCAAAAAGGAGCAAACACTCACAGTACCCAGTGGCTCCTCAGGAGGTCAACAGGAGCTGTAGCTGTAGCCATCTCCAAGGGCAGGCTGTGACCTTGTGTTACCACAGTTTGTTCTTGTTTTGCTTTGTTTTTTTTTTTATTATTATTTTTTCATTAAACTAATTTAGCTGGTAAAAAGTATACTTTACCTGGGTCATGCATGGTTCTTGGTGATTTTAAAAGCTGACAGCTGCTGCTTTCCTTCAGACTAGGGAGTGCAAAGCAGCATAAGGACTTGCTAGGCTTAGAAGATGGGATTGTTTACAGACCTGTGTGTATCAGTCAGTGAAAGGCTGCAGGAAAGCAACAAGAGCGGTCAGAGATCTACAACACATGACCTGTCCCGTTAAAAAATAAAAGTTTTAAAAAAAAGTTGGATGGCTTCTTAGCCTCAGGTAAATCAAGGCTATTGCCAAGAGTAAGGAATAGTCTGCCCTCCACAGGCAAGCTGTAAGCAATAAGAACAGGCTTCAGCTGTGGGAAAGATCGGAGCTAGCAAGAGGAACATTGTGCTGCTGGTTAGGCTAGGGAAGCACTGACATAGTCTGCATGGGGAGTTTGCTAAGTCCCCACCATGGGGGTTATTAGGAATGTATTAGATAAACATGGGCTGGGGATGATGTAGATGAAGGCACATCTTTAGTGGGGGCAGAGTGTTGACTGGGTGGTCTTAACTGTCTGTCTCAGTTGCCATAGTGTGGTTGCTGGTGAGTCAGCCCATCTTCCTGGGTACTGAGGATGCACTTCAGGGGCTTCCCCTTATGGTTGTGGTCCAGACAAGGCCACATGACCCAGCAGCGAGGATTCCTGGCACTCCTTGCTTGAACGGAATGATTTTCCCAGGAAAAGTGCTGGAGGTCATATTTCATTGTTCTTGACAATGTCTGAAAATATGAATTTATTTGTAATCTTATAAGTCAAATGCTTATTTCCTTCCCTTAATCCACACAATTCTGGGGTAGATGAGGGAGAGTGTGCCATCATAGTACAAAGACTACAGTACAAAATAAAGCCAGAAAAATGCACATTAAGAGAAAAATGTCACCATATAGTCCCAGAGCAATACATATTTATACCTTTGGAAGGCTCTTCGGAGACAATGCTGTCTGCTACGTGTACTTTATCAGATAAACTGGGAGTTCTAAGTGATAGTTAAATACTATGAACATCTGTTTCTGGTTCTCAAAGAAAAACCCTAGGTCAGCCACAGACTGTGACAGTCACGGTGTTTCTGTGAGTCACGTAAACATGTTGTAAACAGCTGCTTGGCTTCAGATAAGAGCAAGCCACATCTGCTTCACCTGCCCACAGAGTGCTCAGGCCACACCCCAGATACAGTTTTATTCACCGAAACAAAACTTGAAGACACCTCAAATAAAAAGAGTTTCTGTATACATTTTAACTTATGGTTGCAGAACACCTTTGCTTCAAGGTTTAGTAAAAATCATGCTTTTTTTTTTTTCCTGTAATTGAGCTTAATTTTGAAATTTATATGCAGCTGGATGTGGATTAGCACTTATTTTAAATTATTTTGTCATGTCTGTTTAATCAGAATAAGCTTGTGCTATTTTTAGTGCTCTTTGTGGGGCATAACAGAGGTTTAAACAAGTTCTTACTATTAACCAGCATCAGGACTGACTGAGACACTCATGCATGTACTTTCCATTTTTGTCATATTCCTTAGTAAATTTTTTTTCTCTTAGAACATAACATTAAAATGGGAAGTACTACTGTCCTCATGGTACAGATGAATCATTAACACAGAGGAACTTAAAACAATGGCATGAACTATGCATTATTAATCATATTTCATTATTAAAAGATACCTGGATACAGTCAGATTAATCAAGTGAAATATTTTAGCATTATTACACATCTCTTATAGGAGGATTCTTATATGTACTGTAATACCTGTGCGTACATTTAATTGAATATGTTACTGACAACTTCAGATAAGAAAACATGTTTAAATATGTGGGAGGATAATAGGATTCAGTGACTTTCGCCCATCTCAAAGTTTTATTGAGAAACAAATTCCTTAGACATTTTGGAAATTCCAGCTCTCTTAAATAAGTGGTTGGTTATCTGAATCTAATTCAGGTCCATTTGAAACTGTTTGGAGGACTTCTATATGTAAACATATAGATAGATAAACAAGCTTTGACTGTCAGTAACCAAATTAATAGTAGAAGTCAAAGTGCTTTTTTTTTGCACTCTTTGCATAACTTCACTGACTTCTTCTTATGTTTTTAATATAATAAACAAGATACAGTATTCATGCACAAATGTTGCTGCTTGTTTGCTAACAGAAACAGTATTAGACTCATTCATTCTGGGTATCAGGCGTGGGTGCTTCAAATTACTAAATTGAATCTTCTGGTGATCCCATGTGACTTTTTTTAGTCAGAGCCATAGGTTTCTGAACATCTCACATGATTTCTTTTGCTTTTTGAGACTTTGTGATCACCCCTTCTCACGTCATAGTGCATGTGAAGTGAGTCTCTGGGTAGCTTGACTGATTCTACTGCCAACTTTTGATACGTTAATCTTGTCTTTTACAGCCACAGCTCTGGTGAAGGTAGTGAAGAATTTTAGTCATTTTTAATGCTGCTAGATTAGAGAATTCCTTCTATATTGGTCTTTTTCATTTTGTAGCAATTTATATATGTTGCAGAGTACCCACAAAATCAAGCTTATCAAACTCATGGAGATTTTAAATTCTTTCAGTTTACAGGCTGAAGTGAAGTCTTCATCTTCCTTTTACAGAAATAACTTGCCTGGCCTTACCAAAAGCTTTAGCCACTCAGGATTTATCATTTTCTATCCTATTCTGTTATTCTGAGTCCCTCATATGCCTCAGCACAAGCTGTCTGTGCTCTGATGCTGCTTCATTTATATATGACAGCTGCAACAAACAGCCCAAGACATTCTTTCCCTTTTTTTTTTTTTTTCTTGTTTCTGGTTTAAGAAATGAGATGAAACACTTGAAAAAATATTTTCCTCATGTTTCACTTCCCCTGTGTCTTTTAAGGTCAGTTCCATGGTGAGATTTTTGTGTCAATAGTTGCAAGGTTCAGACACATTCTTCCTTCTTGAGACAGTGACAAAAGAGCTAGCTGGTGAGCATGGTGTTCCTGTAGTTCATCCCGTTTCACTTGTGGGGGATTATTTCCCCTTTATGTCTCTCAGTGGGTGTTGCAGCTGGTAGAGTTGCATTTCTAGTTATCTTTTCCTGTTTTGATCTGCTCTAAGGAAGTTCAGCTCTAAAAAACTATTACGTAAAAATAGCATTCTCTTACTCAACAAAATGTCTAGTCTCTTTTAAATTCCACCTTACCTGCTGACAGCAGTGGAAAATGCAAAGTTTTTTTTTTTCTTCTTGTCTTGTTAGAGTTGCAGAGGCAAAAGTTTCTATTTAAATTAACATGTTGTGAACACCCCTCCCCAGCTCAGCACTCCCCGTCAGTTCCATAAGTGTATTGTACTTAAGTATGTGATTAAGGTCAGATGTGATCTTTGTACCTCTTCACAAATGCAGAGCAGAGATGGACACAAGCTTGTAAGGCTTTGCTGATTTGCAGTCCTGAGCTACCAGGGGCTCCTGTAGCTCTGGCTTGGAGTCCTTTCCAGCTCTTTATACCAAGGATAAAACTGCTCGGCACTGCCAGTGCAGGTGTCAGTCATTAGATAGCTGCAGTCATTAAAAGAGTCTTTTTTTGAACTTCTGTGTTGAAAGTGTGCCAGTTTTTAGACCCCTGACCCCACCCCCATAAGCAGGTACAATTACCATGACTTAACTGTTTCAGCTGTCTTTTAAGCAAACATTCTTCACCTGTTACTGATGTGGACTGGGAGAATACAACTGTTCAGTTACCATAGTTCACTTGACCCGTGGTAGCTTGTTAAACCTTCATATCTTGGTCATGTGTGTTTGAACCAGGCTAATAGTTTAAGCAATTAATTGCAGAGAAGCAAGGGATTGAACTAACATGATTTAAAGCAATGCTAGACTTCGTAAGGGTTTCTGTGAGTTCAGCTAACAGCTTGACTAGACCCTGAGCTGCAGTAGTTTAATTTGCCGTATGTTTTGAAGCTGACTTTGTTTAAATTAGTACAAAAGACTGTGGGTGTTCTTATTTCAAGTTAATTAGGGTAACTTTGGCTGAACTTCACTTAATTAAGGGCAAGTTTATGTTAAACTGAGTATATTATTCTTATGCTGAAATAAGAATCTGTAAGAAAGCACGGCCGTTCCTGAACCAAGCTGATTTATGGGAGATGAGACTCTACTGAAGCATTTATTTTCTAAATCATAAGTACCTCATATATTTAACTATGTTTCTATGAAAACAATACTCAAAAATAGTATGACTTCTGATTTCCGCAGTCATCTTCCCTTGGTCTCTCAGTCCTTTGTCTGTAGGAAGTCATTAAGCTCTGTCACTGTAGCATTTACATGTCATATTGTAACCAAGATTTGAACTCTGTCCTAACAGCTTTACTTTAATGTCATCCTAGAGCATGGGAAATGACCTTAGTCTGTCTGACACTGTGCTTTATGTTGTATGCTCTGTGCAGTCTGTATTACTACTTAGATAAGCTCCATGCGAGCAATGGGTGTTGCGTTTTATCTGTGCATTTTTCTGTCAACCCAGAAAGAACATTCTTCGATTCCTGGATGCTGAAAGAGATGTCTCAGTGGTCAAAAGCAGCTTCAAGCCAGGGGATGTAATCCATTACGTACTGGACAGGCGCCGCACTCTAAACATTTCTCAGGATTTGCACAGCCTTCTCCCTGAAGTTTCCCCAATGAAGAATCGCCGATTTAAAACCTGTGCGGTTGTTGGGAATTCTGGCATCCTTCTGGACAGTGGATGTGGAAAAGAGATTGATAGCCATGACTTTGTAATAAGGTGAGTTTTCGTCTGCTGTTGAAGATGTAGGCTGCAGTGTTTCTTGGAGAAAAGCTGGGAGAAATGTTTCAATCTGAGATAACAGATTTCAGGAATTACCTGAAATTACTCTGAAACAGTATCTTTCACTGTGTGATTCCCCAAGTTTAAATACATGCCCGTGTTGTTGACAAGAAGTTTATTTTTAGAGTGAAAATAAAACAAGGGCCAGAGGAGAGAGGCTTGTGCTACTTTTTTTTTCTTTTCATTGTTTTTATTCCAGACAAAATAGATATTCTAGTGGAGGCCTTAGTAGAATAAATGCAAAATGTTTTCTCTTTCAAATATACACTTTCTTAGCCAATAAAACATTACTTATGTGCAGCATGGGGTGAAATTTCAGGGTGATATGTTGATGTTGAACCAGATAGCTGCCATTAAGGTAATTGGAAGTCACACATCTAAATCCCTTCACATGCTCTAAAAATGTGTCCCTGCAGTTTGGGCAAAAAGGTTGATATGCTTCACTTTATTCATTCTTCAAGCACTCACAGCAGAACAACTTTGGACTTCACATATTAATAGGAAAAAAAGAGGAAAATCTGGGCTCATTTGATACCCTGACATTATATGAATGTAGAGAGGGTTGGGCAAGAGGTAGATCCTTTTGCTTTTGAAGTAGAAGTTTCAATTGGTTTGGTTTGAGCAAGGTGAAAGGGCAGAAAATAGAAAGACAGGGCAAAAAAAATATAGAAATAGTTGTCATTGCGTGTTATTTGCTTTTTCTTTTCTCACCTTGAAGAAAGATAGTGGCAAAAAAAAAATCACAAGGGTATGCAAAAGAAAAATTATAGTATTTCAATACATAAAACAGGATCTATGCAGGAAAGTTGTATTTTATTTCACAGGTGTACTAGCAAGTGGCAACTGAAACAATAACACACCGCTCTTTCATTTTCCTGATTTGTTTTTCTTGTACCACGAGTCTTTCAAATTAGCATCCATATTGCAGAAGGATTCCAAAAATAAATACTACATTAAGCAACAGTTAGGCTATGGCATGCTTTTGTGCTCTTTCACAGATTAAATGTGATCAATTTAAAAGGACTGCAGAGAAATTTAGATACTAGATTTTCTAGATTAAAATTTTATTTCAGAAGGCAAGGTACATAATTAAGTGATGTGTCAAATTTCTTTGAAGTCATCTCTATGCTCTTGTTTAAGAGAGCATAGACATGCTTTATAGAGAGCATCTCTATGTTTTGACTAGTCATAAAATTGGGTAATGATATCTGATAACAGATTTTAACTAATTCAAGCCATGTGGAGTAAAGATAATATTCTTAAAGATTTGTGTACGAATAATAGAAGGATGGTGAAGCTTAATAGAAACATCAGGAAGTTACTGTTGCTAATCAGTTATTTGGACTGGAGAGACGTGTCTCATGTGGTGCATGACTAGTAAAGTGATCAACTTAACTAGTTTACAAGATCAACTAGTTAGTCTGATGATACTGTGGATAATAATCTTTATAAGGTTCTGGGTATAGAATACTTAACCCTGCAGCCTACAGAGAGTTTTGATACAGTTACATTTTGGGATTTACAAATCAAAGTTAAAACATTTTAGAAGTTCACAGATTATTTCATAGGTTAAACTAAATTATATTTATTTATGTATGTCTGGATGGATGCATAGGTACATAGCATCCATTTAAAGTAAATAGCAATGATTGTATTTTGAGTTAAAGTAAAAGGCAAAGTATTCCTCAGAGTTCCAGTTTTCTACATTCCTCCTCTTCCATTTAAAAAAAAAAAAAGGTACACAACATGACATGTAAATCCATGATCTAATGGTACTGGCATACGTGGTAATAACTCACCTATTGCCATTAGGATTCCAGTATTAAATTGTACCGTGGCGATCTGTTACTCTCTTTGCTTTCAGATGATTTCTCTAGAAGTAAAATGCACTCTTTCTACTCACCACCTGATGGTATTCTGAAAAGCAGTTCTTTTATGTACTGTGTGCAGCTAGGTGTATAGGCTGATGAACGACATTTTTGTGAAATTTCCTGAGGCTGAGTGCATTATGGCTGTGTGCTTTGGTTAAACACATTATCCAGTTGATTTTGATAGTACCATATGTTCTTTTTGAGATCTGAAACAAAAGTGTGTGGTTTTGACAGTTATTTCTTGCAGCAGGAGTTCTAGTGTTAGATCCAACACCAACAGTACCATTAATTTAATGATAAAACTGATAGTGGAAGATCTGTGAAAGTGGACACCACAGGCATCCAGCAGTTTTTGTGTTACAGTATAATAAACTCAATAACCCAGATTTTAATGGTCCTATAAAGGTGGTATGAAGGTGTTAGTAATAACTGATAAAGGCATAGAATATATGCTTTATTAAGGGTAAAGAAGATGATAGTACCTAGGACTTTAAGTAATTTAAGTGTGATAGTTATCTGTCAATGTCTTTGAAAGTCATCCAAAGTTACTAATAACTTTCCGTCTTCCTTTGAGACATTTCGGCATATTCAGTGCCTTCTACATAACAATGCCTCTCAAAGAACATTGATCCAACAGAGACACCAGATAATCAGAATACTGCTGTTACGAGAAATGTTTATAAATAGCCACCTAAACTAGAGTCAAATAATAAGTGTGCCTGCAAGCCAGCATAAAATTGTCAGCAAATTTTATAAATAAAACAATACTATTCTTCTTCTTTAGACATCTCTGAAAGTGCATAAATAATGGTCATTTCTGTAAGCAAGGTAATATCTTGTCAGCATAAGCAGTTTTACTGTATTACGGAACATTTTAAAAGTGGCTTGGTTTAATTACTTGATTACAGAAGGCCTTACTTGGTTCACATGGCATCAGAAATCAAGAGTCTAGGGACATACCTTCTGCTAGCTTAAAATGGATTAGTTCCACAAGTTTAGTGAAGTCATGCCTATTTTGACAGTAGAAAGTGTAGCCCATCTAGTTAAAATGGGAAGCACGGAGACTCTTTGCTATTAAAAAACCTGTACTGGCCATAAACTATTTCCTGTTTCCTTTATTCCTTTCCTTTTTACCTTTTATGTTTTTTCACACTGTTCAGCCTTTCACCTCTGCTACTTTTGTAGCGGTCAGCTAAAGCACGCTGCGTTTTGATACTATACCCAGAAAGGGTCCGAACCATTCCAGAATCTCTGATTCCATAAAAGAAATTACATTTAAAATGTATAAATGGCACAGTGCTGCTGCAGGAGCTGTTTTTTGCATTGTGCTGTTTTTAGCTGCTTTTTTAGCTGTTAGTCAGATATACGGTGCTTGCTCCGTATATGTAAATGCAATGTACATGAGATGTAAATGCAATACATCTAATTCCTCCTTTGTCTATGCTCTCATGCTGAAATTCTCGTGCCAGGGCTGTGTTAGCTTTTATGTCTTACAGAACAGGTGAGCTCGTTATAGTAAGTGGTACATTTTGAAATGCAGTGGTACATTTGAAATACAGTTGCATTTTTCAGGAAGTCCTATGTACTTTGGGTAAATGTAAAATAACAATACTAAACATTGCCAAGTAATAAATTTCAGATTGCTGGAATTACTTCTGGCAACCAGAAAATGCCAAAAAGTATTCAGTCCAGCTTTGGGTTCAGAATTTGAACAACGCCAAAGATCAGAAGAAGTACTTTTTTTTTTTCCGTGTGTGTTAATGACATTCAGTGTTCATGCTGAGAAGTATTCAAAAGCAGAGGCAAGTACAATTTTGGAGTTATTTGGTTAAAAACCAACCAACCAACCAAAAAAAATCCCCCAAACCTAGTAAATAATCCTGTGTATTTTCTTTTGGTGACACTACTTCTGTTGGCCTATGTGGAGAACAGGCCCATTGGGTGAAGTTGTTTGACTAGCTTAGGGCTGCTCTGACAAGGAACAGCCATGAGAAGATATTACTTCTTTATTCAGATTGAAGTGCCTAGTTTACATGTTACAACTCTTCTTTCTCCCATTGGAGTGTTTTCCTGATAATTGTGTCAACATCTAGGAATCAAGCCGAATATTCTTGCCATCATTGGTGACAAAATTTTGCTGGGCAAATGTAGTTCCTATTTTTCCAATGTCTTTTGACTTTCATTTTTTAACTTGGCAATTCTTGTGATTATTGAAGTTGACACAGAAAAAATTCGTAGTCCTTTAATAAATGTGTTGGTTTATCCTATACAAAGAGGAGGATAATGTGTTTGACTTCCTCCCCAACATCTTGGTTTTGTGGGCAAGAAATTGTGATGTGAGCAGAAGACAGTGTATCTGTTCAGGAAGAAGAAAAGGACAGACCTTCTAACCATTCTAGGGAGATATGGTTGCTCATTTCAGGAAAACAACTTACATTTCTCTGCTTGTACTAATATGTAGGCAGGGAGCGGTAGCAGTTTCTTCTGTGTTGTTCTTCAGCTGGTAGGAAAAAAAAGTCATAAATTTGTTGGAATAAAAAGATTTCGGATAGTAATGTAATTACATTCTGGAACTTTTTGCGTTTTTTGTAACTTTGATCATCATTTATGTTTAAATATTTATTTAATACACCTTGCTTGAGGCATAACCATTGTGCCAGTAGAGCTGGATGCTCCAAGCCAGCAGATGTCTTCAAAGTGAAATTGCCAATTTAACAGACTTATTTTAAAACACTATTCTTTCCTTAAAAATTACTTTTGAATACATCATGACGCGTTCGTCAGTCCTTTTTTAGCTCTGAAATGTGGCAGCTCTGTTTTTGTCCTCTGTCTCTTCCTGCAAATTGTTAACACTACATTGAAACATTAAATGAAAGCAGAAGAAAGCCAGAAAGCCATCATCTTCAGATGTTCTTGCTCCATGATTTGGCTGCCTGAGAAAGGGGGTGTGACAGTGTAGTCGCACTGACTGCGCGACAGTTCCAGTCGAGTTAGTCCACATCAGGAGAACCTTGGAGAAGGCTTGACTTCTTGTATCCACCTTTTCCCTTTTTGGCTTCACCTCAC